AAAGAACACCCAGAAATAAACCCACAGAGCTGTAGCTCGCTAAGTTCTAACAAAGATGTCTTGAAAATCATACATCGGAGAGAAAGCCAGCCTCTTCAAATAAAGCTGAGAAAACAGAATATCCACAGATAGAAGAATGAAATTAGAATATCTCACCCTATATAAAAATTCATTTAAGATGAATCAAAGACCTACTTATTCTTGGATATTCTCAAATACATCATTGGAGCTTTCTTTATTTAGTTGTGCCATGAACTTTTTTTCATCATTATTTTCTTAACTTTTATTAATTACATTTTATTCACTTTGTATCCCCTCCTAAACCCTTCTCTCCTCCCCTCCTAATCCCACCTTCACTCCCCCTTCTTCACGCATGCCCCTCCCCAAGTCCACTGATAGGGGAGGTCCCCCTCTCTTTCCTCCTGATCTTAGTCTATCAGATCTCATCAGGAATGAGTGGCTGCATTGTCATCTTCTGTGGCCTGGTAAGGCTGCTCCCCCCTTAGGGGGAGGTGATCAAAGAGCAGGCCAATCATGTCAAAGGCAGTCCCTCTTCCCATTACTATGGAACCCACTTGGATACTGAACTGCCATGGGCTACATCTGTGCAGGGGTTCTAGGTTATCTCCATGAATGGTACTTGGTTGGAGTATGAGTCTCTGGAAAGACCCCTGTGTTCAAATTTTCTGGTTCTGTTGCTCTCCTTGTGGAGTTCCTGCCCTCTCCAGATTTTACTATTTCCCCTCTTCTTTCATAAGATTGCAGGTAAATGGTGGGAACTGGAAAGGATCATCCTGAGTGAGCTGTTCCAGAAGCAGAAAGACACACACAGTATATACTTACTCATGTAGATGTATAATGTAGGATAAACCTACTAAAATCTGTACATCTAAAGAAACTAATCAAGAGGGAGGACCCTGACTAAAATGCTCAATCCCCATCCTGAAAGGTAAAGAGGATGGACATCAGAAGAAGAAAACAGGAAACAAATTAGGAACCTGCCACAGAGGGCCTCTGAAAGGCTCTGCTCTGCAGACTATCAAAGCAGATGCTGAGACTTATGGCCAACTGTTGGGCAGAGTGCCATGAACTTTTATACCTCTGCACTTTCATTCTTTTTTAGCTCCACCTAGGAAGCATCTGAGTTCAAGGTCCTTCTCAAGTGCCACTTCCTGTGTGAAGCTTACCTTACTTTATTAGATTTATAAGGATAAGTGGCTTTTTCTACCATGATCCCTATTTGTTTTATTCTTAAAACAGAGGATAATTTACATAAAATAAAATGAATATATACTGGTCTCTGTATACTCTTGTCACTCCTCTCCTGCAAAGACAGAGACCATTTCCTTCCCCTAATGCTTTCTCTTCCTCCTTTCAAACCTCTCCAGTGGCACTTGTGTCTAACATCAGAGGTGTAAATTTTGCTTGTTTGGAACCCTCAAGATGGCTCAATGGATGAAGGTACTTGTCATACAAGCCTGGTGACCTGAGTTCAATTTCCAGAACCTATGTAAAGGTAGAAAGAAAGAACTGACTCAACAAACTTGTTCTCTTACCTCCACATAAACTCTGTGGCTCATATGCCCCTTCCCTAGACACACACAAATATTTTTTTTTCAAAAAGGTTTTGTTTATTTTTGAATGTTATATGTACAGAATGACATGATCTGTAGTTCTGTCCCTGGCTTCTTTTGTCCAGCAATTCCCCAAGATTTATTTGTTTTAGTTAATATCAGTATTTGAAACTTTTTATTTATAGAATTTAGTTTTGTGTGTATGCCATTATTTGTTTAGCCATTCTTCTGTTGATGGACAGTGTAGCATTAAGTTCAGGTTCATATATGTTATCGTCAGTGGCTTTTGTCTCCCTAACTGAAACTGTGAGCTCATTGATAGAGACCCTGTCACAATCACGCTGTACTTAGCAGACAATAAAGCTCATTAAATCTTTGCTTTCAAATGAGACAGTATATGGTAAACTCAGTTGAACATGACTTTAATCGAGAAGAGGGGTGTTACCTTCATTTCACCAGTGGTTGAAAGGAAGTGTTGGGCTTCTGAACTGTATTTGTTAATGGATGCATGGCCCTCCATGGAAAGGATTCAAATGATTCTATGTGAGTCACAAGGAGAGACACTAAGGTATGTGAGACCTAGTTCAGTCAGATATGCTAACTGGTTGTTTTATATGTTTCACTAGAATATATATATATTTTTTTTTCTCAGAGAGAATATATATGTATACATACATACATACATACATACATACATACATACATACATACATATGCTTCTCTAAGAGAAGCATGGTTGGTGCTCTCATTACTGAGTAGTTCTAGAGGTCTTGATATACCCTTGAACCCAGGGATCCTGTGTTTGTTGTGCACATTGTAGGCAATTAAAAGAGTTAATATTTGAAAGGAGTGAACTCAAGTGGAAATGATGAGTTTGACTTAGAGTATTGAGAGGCCCTAGCTGACCAAGTGAATATATAATACATAATGAAGGGGCATAAGTGGAACAGGGGGCTCTCCCCATGGCATCCAGCCTCACACCTCCCTGAAACCTTGAACAACAGTCGAGTCTGAGGTACAAGAGCCACTGTGAGCCCCTGGCAGCTCAGTGGGGCCATACCCAGGCTACCCTGCAGATGGTGTCTAGGGATTGTGCCTCGGCTTCTTGCAGACCCCACAGGGGTTTCCGTTTCTCCTGGGAGTGGACCTTATGGGATTTGTGACTCTTGAGGGAGCACCACTCTCCAACAGAGGGCGGATCTGTGCAAGCGACAGAGTTCACGTGTGCATGCCTCTTCAGCTGACTGGTACTGAACGTCTAGAAATACCTTGTGGTGAGAGGACTTTGAGGAGATGGGAGGAGTGAGGGAGGCAGAAGAAAGAGGCTGGCCTCTACTGAGAGTCATCAGGGACCAGTCACAGTAGGGATGAAGCAAAGTCACTGGGACACTCCAAGTCTAAGTCACTCCCCTGTAGCTGGACCCTCCAGGGAGCGTTCAGGGTCAGGAGGGTGAGAAGCTATTGATACAAGGAAGAAATAGGAGAGGAGGAAACAAGTCCAAGGTCTGGTGCTGACCTGTTCATCTTGATTTCCCCCTTCCTCCTGTCTCCTTCCCTCTCTGCTATCCTCTAAAATTTGTCTCCCACCTCCATCTTCTGACCCCAAGTTGGTCCTCTTGACCTAACCCTCCCCATGCAGCAAATATAGTGTACATGTAAAATAGAGAACAATTTTTCAAGATGGATGATAGTATAATTGAAATGTGTCATTGAAGTGCCGGTAACATAGCAGCTGATAACGACACTATCTTGGGTCCGTTGGATTATATAAGAGTATTCAAATGTCACTGGTTTCTTCATCCCCCCCTTTTTTGTGTGGGCACTGGAAAGTGTAAAGTAGTGGTTCTCGGCCTTCCTATTGCTAAGACCCTTTAATACAGTTTCTCATGTTGTGGTGACTCCCAATGATAAAATTATTTTGCTGCTTCTTCATAACTGTAATTTTGCCACTGTTACGATTTGTAATGTAAATCTGATATGTGAATCCCAAGTGGGGTCATGATCCACAGGTTGAAAACTGATGATCTAAAGCGTGCTGTGTGGCAATTTCATGTCACCTCTGTTGGATAGTCCTTTAGTTTGGGATGCCATCTTCTTTTTTTAGATAGGGTCTCACTATGTAGTATTGAACTCTTGGTCCTCCTTACCTCATCTGGTCTTGAACTCCTAATCCTCCTTAGCTCAGCCTCCCAAGGGCTAGAAGCACAAGTATCCTGTGACTTTGTCTTCAAGGCCCAGCTTAGGTGTATTTAGATAAGGGAATGCCCCAGCTGAGGGAGGGCTTGAAGGCTTTCTGCCACTGGTATCTGCCACCTGCATGCTTCTCTAGCTTAACCCAGATGAGTCTTGGTTTTATAGAACAGGGAGAAAGTCTGCGAGAAAGGAGATGCTGCCTGACTCAGGAGGTGTCTTCCCAGCCTCCTGCCTAGAGGGATAAGAGAAAATCCCAAACATAAGCATTTCAGGGAGCCCCGTGTCTTGCTCCCAACCCGTCCGCATCCCTGCAAATGCCTATGACACTTGGGAGAGTGCCAAAGTGGAGAGAGCTTGGATTCTCAGCCATCAAAACTTCTAGTTCAAAGCTGGGTCAGCTGCTGTGTCACCACCCAGAACATGTTACTCATGGATAGTTCACCGTTACAGGATGAAAACTGGAGGCTTCCCTAAATAACTCACACAAACAACAACAGGACCGACGGTAACTTACACGGCACTGCCTCTTCAGCACGGCAGTGTGTGAAATCTGGATTTAGACAAAAGGCTATTTGGAGGTGATAGTTTGTTTTGCAAAGGATCCAAAGCAAGGAAAGGGGCAGCCAAAAGAGGCTATCCACCTACTGTGTGTAGTATTCTCAGGTATAAGAAGAGACATGGAGCCATTTATTCTCTATAGTCACAGGCCTCTGATTTGGGATGCCTCCTCTTTCTCCATCCATCTGTTCAGTGGGTATGGGTACCCGAAAGCCAGGAGAAGACGTTGCATCCCTTGGAGCTGGAGTCACAGGTGATAGTGACCCCGGACAGGTTCTCTTAATTCCTTAGCTATCCCTCCAGGCCCTGACCTTGGCCTCCCAATGCTCCTGTCTCAGCCTTCCAACTGCTGAGCAAGAGGCATCCCGTGACTTGTTCTTGAAGGCTCTGTTCCCTCCTAAGCCCTCCCTAATTACTCTGGATTTCCCAGTCTCACCAATAAGCAGCTACATGACCCAGAGCTGCACACACCATATATCCTCATACCCTCCATCCTAAGAGATTCAGTCCATCTGTGTGTTTTCCTTGGAGCCAGATTCTAAGAGCTGGATGCAAATAACAAGACCTTTTGTTCTCATTAGTTACATATCACTAATACTAATGCTTCATTCACTCTAACCTGGAAAAAAAAATCAATCTGATCTGAAAAAAAAACATTTTTATTATAATTTCTCATATTTTCAGTGTATGTCTTCATTACAATCATTGGTACAATAAATATGGAAGTGCTAAACAGACTATCATCATAATGACCTATGGGCTGAGGCACAGGGACCCAGGGATACTGTCAACCCCTAGCACTTCCTCAGGGCCGATCAGGAGGCCTTCGAAGAGTATTGAGAGGGAGAGGAATAGAAACATGATCAAGACAGTCAGTGCAGCAAATTCTAGAATGTCTATTAAAGCCAGGGATGCAGGATTTACTATAAGCGAAGATGGATACTAAAGAAAGAACAGAGAAACTCAAATTCTCCAGTTAGTGGCAGAGGAAAGACCGTGAAGCCAGAACCTTCCTTGTGTCCCCAGAGCATGCCCCCGGCCGCCCGTGCCTTGTGTTGGTTATGTCTACCTGCCATGTGGCCAACCCTGTGCCCACCCTGGCTCTCTTAGGCACCCACCTTCCACCTCGCACAGCTGAGTTAAGGAGAGCAAGGTGAGCTGTGCACCATATACCAGAGCACTGGTTTCCCTCGGTGGTGGCCAGGCGTCCACAGAATGACGGGGAGTTGGAAGAAAGCTGCATCTTCAAGGGTTAAAGGTTGACAGCGCTGCTTCTTGGAGCGCTCTTTCTGGCTCCTTGGCTTTGTTTCAGCTCAGCCATGAGGATCGAACGAGGACTGAATGCCTGGACCATGCTGAAGGGGAAGAGGGAAGGATAAATGCCACTGCTTTCACCTCCTAGCGCCTCTCCTTTTATGACCAGTCTTCATGCCAGGTAGGATGACCTTGCTGTGCATAACTCGTCCATGCATAGTTCTTTGAGACAGTATTGCTGTCCCAGAGCACTTTATATTAGTTTCTGGCTGATGATTCTGGACCAGGGTCAGGAAGCCACTTAAATTGTGTTGCTCCTTCTTGAGGCTTATCCTTACTGTGGTGATGCCATCAGGCATGTTGGTCTCAAGGCTAGGGTGGCACCCAGACTCAAAGGCTGTCAGATTTTATGTGCATGCACATATCCTGCACACACAGCTGAGCCCCCATCAGGTCACCTGTAACCTTGCCCAAGTGAATTATGCTACAAAGACACAGGGCTTGCTACTGAGAAATGTTGCAATAGTAGAAAAAGGGATTTTTATCAACACAGAGGAAGGAGTAGAAGAAAAAATATATATTAACTTGTGCTTCAAGAGGACATTCTATGCTGTCAAAATGAGACTAATCAGAGAACTCCCTATGAATTACAAGGAACTAGCAATTAGGGGCCGGTGGCTGAGGCTTCTTTTGAGCCATGAAACTGACTGCTCTCTACAGGGTTCTCACTTCTGTGGGAGGAGCATGAAGAAGGGATGGAGTATTCTCAGAAACTATGTGACAGAGTGGGAAGAACAAGGAGGATCTTAGAAACATTCTGTTGGCTTTGGTAGTTAAGTACCGGGACCTGGTTTGGCTCTACAAAGATAGCTTCCTGCTTTGGCAGGATGAAAATAGATTTTAGCTAAACATTATCTAGATTTCCCCTCAGCCGGAGGAGAAGACAGTCCTTATACTGAGCGGGCAGTAAGGATATCAGACAAGGTAGAATTGACATTTGGGAAAAAAAGGCAAATCTGCCCAGTATTCTTGCTTCTGTCTGCTTCCCATGGGTTCAAAACAGAAGTAGATCATTCCAAAGCTCACATCTACTCCAGGAGAGAGGAAGCAATTCGTTTTCAAGTAATGGAGTGAACTAGAAAGCATAACTGCCCTCCTGAGGCTAAGTAGGCAGTAACTTGGACTGTTTTTCTCATACTGGATATCTTGACTCCAGTTCTGACTGCAAAGAAAGAATTGTGGGCAACGTATACCCCCCAATCCTGTTTCCCCTCTGTCTCCTTTTCATTACCCACTAAGAAATAGAACTTGAGCATGCTTTGCTGTAAGGTTTGGTCAGTGTCGATATCCCAAAAGACAGGACTGTGAAAATGCCCTAATATATTATAGTCTTCCTTTCTTTTGGATAATATGATGTTTCCAGTCTCAACTCTTCCCCATAGGTGTAAGGTCAGGCCAGAGGGTCTTTTAGAGCAGAAGGAAATCCAAGGAAGATAACTCCTCCCTGAGAAATGAGGCTGAGTTTCAAAAGTATCACCTGAGCAAAGGGTGCATGTTCTAGTCTGGAAGGTTGGGAATAACTAGAATGTTCAGGACACTAGAAATGTACCAGACAGAATCTAGGATACAAGCGTTTTCCACACCATAGTAGCCCACCAACAGGTCAGGTTTAGAATCTTCAGCTATCTCATGCAGCTGGAGAAGTTCACTCAATGCTCCTGACCCCTGGTTCAGTTCATCCCACTCCCTGGTCACCGGGGGGGGGGGGGCTGTGACAGCAGAACAGGGGAGGCCCAGCTGGGAGCCTCCCAAGAGGCTGGGGGAAGGGAATACAGGTGAGCTCGAGAGAACACCTTGAGGTATTTCAAGTGTCCAGAGAGCCAAAGCATGTCCAAAGCAAGGTCCTTCCTTGGATGTCTGAGGGTGCCAGGGACCTCAGGCGTGGGCCTCAGTCTCCTTCTTGATGGCTGGTTTATAAATGACTCCCTTGTTGTCACCTTTTCTGCTACAGGAACAATAAGAACACAGTCTTGTTAGTCAAAAAAGGAGAGAGACAAAGCCAGAGAGCAGCCTGGCTCAGGAATGGAATGAAGGAGTTTTGGAAGTCCTGATTCCTTTCTTGGGGACCTTTCCCAGGTCTGTTGGTCTTGGGAGAGAATGGTATCATACTAAGCGTTAACTAAAACAGAACCTATTCGTTTTCTGTTTTCAAGGCTGGATCATTCTAAACCTGCACTCTGAAGGTCCCATTATTACCCCCACTTCAAACTTCTGATGCCATAATTCCTAGAAACATTCTTATTTTCTATACCAAGAGAAATAAATTACACACTTATACCTGGTATGAGTGAGAAATCAGGTTTTTCTTCATTTTTCTTTTTGGATTCATAGAGGAAAAACCAGATGTAAAGATCTTAGTGCAAAGACAAACAAATCAGAACACTTGTCCAAGGTCACACAGCAAAGCTGGTAGGGTCGCTGCCACACCTGAGCACAGTAACCCTTAAATGGCCAGTGTTTCATACAAGGACGCCAGTGTTTGAGCGTTCTAAGAGCAGAACTCCTAGGGTAGTATTGGGTTAAGCAACAGGGGCTATTCGGCAAAGTTGTCTTGCCAGATAGACCAGTCATCGTGGGTACATAAGCCACTCATTGAGAATGGGAATTCTGAATCCGAACCAACTCACCTTTTCTTCCTTTTGAAGAGCCAAATGGACACTGCCAAGACAATGGAGATGCCAAGAACACCAGCCAGGGCAACTGAAAGGATGATGCCTGGTGAAGAGGCAGGGAGCACATGTCACATTCCTTCCTTAACCACATCTCATCCTCATCACAGCAATGGCACATGTGAAGTTAGGTCCTAGCTCCACAGTCATCCTCAGAACATTATCGTTTCCCCACCTCTGTTCTCAGATTCTGGCCTCTGGCTTTGTGACACTGACTGGCTATTGTACTTAGAGGGGCATTTACAAATTGTGGTGGCTTTCTAGCATGGGTTCTCAAACTTGCATGAGGATCATGTTCACTATATGGACTTTCTGAAAGATCAGCCTTCAGAGACTTGGTTTGCTCTATTAGACCTGGGACTTGGGAATACACATTTTATTTTCAAACATCTCCAGCTGATGGTCTGTAAACCACACTTTAAGAAACTCTGGGCTACACAATAAGATCTACATTTGCTTGCTGGATGTAAGATCTCTTGGGATGACTCTATCAATGCTGTCCCCAATTTCCATTGTGGTCTCAAACAACCAACCCCATGGTGAAGGCCATGTGGCCAGCCACCCGACTTCAACATTGGGCTTAGGTATGTTTTTAGAATCTCTTAAATGGAATTTTTACATACACATCACAGTGTGATTTGGTCTTTCATTAGAGAAACATTTGATTGGCAGTTAATTTTTTTTTTAAATTAGAGAGCAGCTTGAGGGGTACCAGAAGCCAAAGCGACAGCAGAGAAGCAGGGAAGATAGGCTGAAAGGATCACAGGCCCAGATCACACTGAAAATCATGGGATCACCCAGTTGTAACATGCACACTCAGGAAGCCACATACCCAAACTCAGTCCTGTGTCGGTAAGGTTTTCTACTTAAAGGGGGGAGAAAAGATTAGAAGTTACTCTAGAGCCACGGCATGATGCATCTGACCAGTGCATAGCAAAAAAAAAAAAAAAAAAAAAAAAAAAAAAAGTTACCTTTAATTTTTGGTTGGTATTGCAGGGCTTATTCAGATTTGGGGGGTGGTTATCTTGGCTTAGGTTGATGGGTTGATCCTACCTAGGGATCCATACTGTTTCCTCCTGTATCCCCTGTTCCTTATCATAGTCACTTTCTTTGCTAGGACAAGACTTGAGTTTTTAAGCATAAAGGGCAAAAAGGCAGGGTGACGATGGGTAAGAGTCAACCTCCCTTGGCAGGCTGTTGTCCACTTCTCTGGTACCATCTTCCTCATCACGGAGCCTGCCATCAGCCTTCTGCTCCCACCTGCTCTACCATCATGCTTTGCTTCTTCCTTTTCCATTGTGGCTTGGCCCTACTGGACAAACTCCTCTGCTATGCCAGTCTGTCTTCTCTGCTCAAGTATTATGACTTCCCCCAAAGTTGCTATTAGGAATAAGTAGGGTGAGCTTAGTGTTCTGAATGGGGCCCAGCCATTGAAATTAAAGTCCCACAGCCTACTGGGGATCTCCAAGTTCACGGTCCCCTGTGAGTACATCTTCCCCAAGCAGCCTCTGGCCTCCTATAGGTTCTCACTGATCTTCTTCTTTCTCTCAGCCATGTCCTCCATGTAAAGAAGTCTCTGTCTATATACACCCTCTTTTCTGGTGGTTTTCTGAAACTTGCAAAGCAACTGTGTGCATGTGCGTGTGTGTGTGTGTGTGTGTGTGTTCACTCACATTGTGTGTGCACGTGCATGCACGTGTGTGTGTGTGTGTGTGTGTGTGTGCACGTGTGCGCATGTGCATGCATGCCTGCCTGCCTGTCCCCATTCCCCCTGATTTCCTGTCTATTTGTAGTGTTAGTTCAACTTCACACCGGAAGCCCATGCGTGACAGGTAGTGACACACAGAGAGAGAGCCTATGCCTATAAAGCCCATCATAGGAACCAAGTCTCTAGGTGAGCCCTGGCCACATGTGAGGTACCAGCAGAGAGTAAGAATTCACTCTTGGGGCTTTTGGCATACCCAGGCACAAGACCTGAGGCTGCAGCATAAGTTTTCACTCACCAGCCTTCTCCTGTCCTGTGGCCAGAGTCCGCCTGATTCCCTAGGAGCCGTAATACCTGTACACCTTCTCTACCATCTTACAGTGCCACATCAAGCCTTCCCAGCCTCTGAGATAAGCCTGACCCTGAGCTGTCCTGGCTACTGTGAAAGTAAACTGTCATGAGGAGAGTGTCCCCAAGGGTGTGGACTGTTCATGTTCTGGCTGGCCACCACCAGCTCTTAAGTTCATAGCTCTTAAGTAGCTCTTCTTGTCAGATAGCCTGCCCAGGCCTCCCTGGTGAACTGAATAGGGGGAGCAGTGTATGGTTTGAGATGTTTGGAGGGCAGGTTCCCACTTAGGGAGAATTTCATGCTTCTACTCCCCATGGCCTGGGTCCCAGCCAAAAACAACTTAGTATTTGAGTTTTCTGGGTTATGGTGCCCAGAGTCCTTGTTCATTTTTATCTTAAGCTCTAGCTGTCTCTTCTCTGGCTCTGATGAAACACTTGTTCCTCAAGCTCCAGGAGCTCAAAGGGCTGGCCCAGCAAGCTTGTCACCAGCAAGCCACCTGGCTAGGTTGTCCAAACTGGACCATCACTTTCACAGTCACCATAAGCATGCGTGAGCCACATGGGCCCAAACAGCCACATGCTCCTACCACATGGCTGGAGGAGGTACCTGTGTGCTGTGGTGTTGGCTGCTGAGCAAAGCCCATGGAGAGCTAGGCCATAGAGTGGAACTTTCTCAAGAGTAGCCCAGCTTGGTGGCTTCTCTGGAGGAAGAGTCTACCTTTCCTTGCTTGCTCTTCAGCATTTTGACAACAGCATAATTGAACACAGTGCTACAACCCAAGTTTTTCACTCCTGGCTGGCCTCTTTTTAGGGACTAAATTGTTTCATCTTGGAAACAATGGGGTGAGCCCATTAATGAAGACCAAGAAAGTTCCAGAGACTGGGATAGGTGAATTTTCAGCTAAGGCTTTTGTGTTGCAAAAAAACAAAGCAGCTTGACCAAACAAGATGGGAACTTAAGTACCAAGGAAGAAAAACTCTGATGACCATGTCACCTTAACAGTTATACCTTTCTATGATGTCTAAGGCAAGAAGATGTGCCTAGGACACCATCCTACCAACTTAGGCAGCACCCACCAAGGTCTGCAGAGACAGACCATGCTCAGTAGGTTTGAGCTTTACTGAAGATAGGGCCAAAGCATCTGCTAACTAAAGAGCCAGGGGGCTAGCAATGAGAATTTCAGAGAGAAATATTGAGGTGATTTGCGGACTAGAGTGAGAGAGAAGACAGAGTATTCCTCAGCAGAGACTCAGCCAGGTGAGGCCAGCCTGTGGGCAACTAGAGTACAGATACCAAAGATAGTGTGAGATCGACAGAGCTAGAGAAGGTTATGTTCAGCCTAAACACAGATATAGGGTATTTCCAAACAGGGATCATGAGGGAGCTCCTAAAGAAGAACAATGAGACAGATGGGGAAAATGGAGACAGGCTTGCTCTCAAAGGTGGCCCATAATAGCTAGCTGATGAGAGCCTAGCAGAAAAGACTCCTGAGGTATCTTCTAGGAGGACTCATGCCGAGAAGATGAGGGAGTGCTGCTTGCTCAGAGCCTCCATGGAGTCCTTGGGTACCAGCCAGAGTGCACAGAGATAGGGCAACACGACACGCAAAAGGAAGTTGCGCACAGATACAGACAGCTGCAATGTCCAGGGAAAGCAGGACACTTCAGAAGGTCAGGAACACTTAACACAAAGACCTCGCTACCTGGATGGGCTGGTATCAGGAGCTGCATCTTCCACTGGCATCTGGCTGCACCGAGGATGCTGGTTAACTGCTTTTGAGGTGTTCTGAAGCCTCAAGTGCAAACACAAACAAATCCAGCCCGAAGAACAAGCACTCATTTGCATATCTGGGCGCACCTGGAACAACAGCCTGGTATTTTCTAGCTCTATTTTTAACTTTGGTTGTTGGGTGCAGTCTTCTCTTATTTCAAAGTCCTGTTAAAGCATGGACTGCTTTCATAGGCAGCATGTTAGGTGGGATAGACACACAGGCCACTCTTCAGTGGTCTCCAGTCTTATGAAGAAAAGCCAGGAGAGCTTAGGTTTACAGCAGTTCGATTGCTTAAGGACGTGAGATTGGCTTAGGCTGGTAACAAGTGACTGTTACCGTGTGATGTTCCAAAGCCACAGAGTCAAGTGACTGCAGTACTGGTCTCCCCTTCAGCGCTCAGTGACCACCTAACCGGGCGCTATTCCTCATCAACCCTATACAATAAAGTCTACTAAGAAATCTGCCCAAAGGGCACCACTAGACAGATCATGGGCTGACTGGTTTATAAAACAGGCATAAGAACTGAGGGCTTTGTCTCCCAGATGGCAAGCACGCAGGGCACACTGCTCAGAGACAGGTGCATGCCCGGCTCTTGTCCTATGAGTTGCATTCAGTGGCCCAGGCTTTCAGAGCCTAAGGGGTAATGGGAATTGGATGGGGAGCTTGTATCCCTGTCAGCCCAGAGCAACAAAAGTGCGTCAGTTGGCAACTTCCTCCAGGCCTTCACACCTCGGTTGCAAGTTTTAGTTTTGAATTACGTATGGTTTTATTTTAACATTGTTGGCAAACTAAGAATAGAACAAAGACAGACTTGAAGTTCAACAACTGGCCAGGTTTATGTGTAAATCATTCTAGAGAGAAGATACTTGGGGAGGAAAGGGAAAAGGAAATGGTCAGTTATATTCTTTCAGCAAGCTTATAACACACACCAGGCATGGTGCCAGGAATAAAGAATAAATGAGACATCAGGCATCCTTTCCTTAGGAGCCCATAAGGTGTATATAATATTCTCTCTCTCTGGTTTTACTGTGTTGTAATAAATAGCTATTCAGTTATATGCCACATGCTTCCATAAAGATGAAGAAGTTAGATGAAAGAAGTTGGAAAGCCACCTCCAGGGTAGTGGAGAGGGGCCTTAAAGTAATTTTGAGAATGAGAGTCATTGCAGACAAAGGAATAGTGTATGTGCCTATCAGAGGCCCTGCAGCTGGGGCTGAGGCTGAAAGGACAGGGATGGGGGCCACAGAGAGCCAGTGTGAGAGGAGGAGGCGGGATAATTTCCCAGATGTTGTTCCTGAACTAGCCTGCTCTGGGTCAGGGGTAAGATGGAATGCTCATGGGGTCTTTCTTTCTCTCTGTCATTCTTTCTGTCATTCTTTCTGTCATTCTTTCTTTCTTTCTTTCTTTCTTTCTTTCTTTCTTTCTTTCTCTCTGTCATTCTTTCTTTCTCTCTTTCTATCTATCACTCTTTTCTTTCTATCACTCTTTCTCTTTCTCTTTTCTCTCTCTCTTTCTCTCTTTTTTCTCTCTTTCTCTTTCTTTTCTTTCTCTCTATCACTTTTTCTCTCTTTCTCTTTTCTCTCTCTTTCTTTCTCTGTTTCTCTTTTTTCTCTCTCTTTCTCTCTCTCTGTTTCTCTTTCTTTCTCTTTCTTTCTCTCTGTCATTCTTTCTCTCTCTTTTTCTTTCTTTCTCTCTGTCATTCTTTCTCTCTCTTTTTCTCTTTCTTTCTTTCTTTCTTTCTTTCTTTCTTTCTTTCTTTCTTTCTTTCTTTCTTTTCTTTCTCCCTATAGTGCACAGCTAGTGCATAGTGTGCCAGAGGGATTGGGGTTTCACTTCTTAGCACATCTGATGACAGCTGCTGACAGTTCAGACCCCTGATCCAGGTCTAGGAATCTGAAGGTAGGAACGTCTCTGATTTCTCATAGGATATCTTGGAAGAATCGATGATACTCTCCCATCTAACACCTTTTATTTATAAATAGAAACTTGAAGAACACAAGGTCAATAACCACAGAACATAAGTTCTGGTCTCAAAAAAAAAAAAAAATAGCCATCTTAGCTGGGTAAGACTTCTCTCTTTCGAGAGTTTTTTTCTAAAACTATGCAGGTGTCTCCAGGAGAAGCAGGTTCTAACGTTACTCTGCAAACGGCCACTGGTTAGAGCCCCCTTGATGCCTAGCAAGCTCAGTATTCCAGCACATCCACTCATCTAAATGCCCCTCAGCTGGCTCTAGATCTCTGGGAGTAGCATGCAGTTCCTCAGAGCAGGCCCACTAAAGACATGATTACAGAAACTTTTTGGCCTCCTGTGTCTCTCCAGTTTCCCTGCCTCTAATAGGCCTAAAAGGAGCTAGACAGATATTAGTGTTAAGGTTTGATAGTCCCTCGCCTTGTTATCCATCACCATCAGGGCTCAGAGTTGGTGTCCCTGGCTGAGAAGACATTAACCCATGTCTAGGCCCTGGCCTGTGCTCTTTGCAGCATCCTCACTTAGGGTACCTGGCTCTCAGGAAACTGAACTGGCCTCAGGTGAGTCTTCTCTCTAGCATCCCACCTTGAGGACAAGCTCAAGTCTTCCTTGGAAGAAGCTATTTTTCAGAGCTGATTAACAGCACCTGGCTGGGCCTACTGGTTTCCGTCTATACTAGGGACTTTAACAGTCAAAACAACCACCAGAAGAGAGCCTCTTCTGGTGGGAAGGAGATAAGGGATGAGGAGGGTCCTGCAGAAAGGTGCCCAGCTGAAGTTCTCTCTCTTGCCACTTCTCCTAGCCTTACCCAAATATATAAGAAAGATATTTTCTTAAGTTCTATGGGAACAAGGCTTCTCTTGATTTGGTTTATTCAGGATCATCATCCAAAACTCAGGTTTCCATGCCATTAATATGCTAAAGACTAAAGATGGCTCCATGGTTAAGAACACTGGTTGATTTTCCAAGAGTTGCGTTCGATTCTCAACATGGTGGCTCACAACCATTTACAAATACAGTTTCACAGAATCCGACGCCCTATTCTGATCTCCTGGGATACAAGGCATGCACATAGTACACAGACATACATGCAGGCAAAGTACCCATACACTTATAAAATAAAAATAAAAATTTAATTAAAAACAAATATCAGAGCATGTGATATTCAACTTTAGAATCCTCTACTAATGGGGGGGAAAACCAGTCCTAAGCCTACAAAGTCACTGACCAATCCCTGGGGGACAGTGTTTCTCAATGGGACCATTTTGCTCCTTCTCCCTAGAGAACTAGGCAATGTCTAGAGATGTTTTTTGAATGTCACAAGTGGGAACATACTGCTGGCATCTAATAGGTGAGGATGAGGGACCCCTGCTACTGCTATGGGGCACAGGGAAGCCTCTACTATAAGAAGTGTCCTGCCCCATGTGTCAGTAGTGCCAGGGCTGAGAAACCCTACACTAGGCTACATTGAAGTACAAGCCCTTTACAGGCAGAAAGCAGGCTCTATACTTCTTTTATAAGAGTGTTCTGAGAAAGTAGCAGAGGCAAGTTAAATGGTTCAGTCCTATTTGTTCAATTTGATTAAATTTTGTAACACACACACACACATTTTCTCTCCTGGAGATTTCCTTTATTTTCTGTTCCTGCCAAAAATGTTTGGGTTTCTTAGCTCTTATTAATTTCCAAAGGAAACTCTACAAAATAGAGCCTAATTGTATACAAGCCTCCATGGGAGAGTCTACAAAGAATTGAACCCAAATCACTGAGGGGCCGTGTGTTCAGACAGCCTCACACTGTAAACCTGGAACTGCATGTTAGCCAGACCTGCTCCAGCTCGGCTGTGAGAGGCCCTCGCGAATCTAGGCACCTGTGGGAAGAGGAGGGTGGGAGCTGAGCCTAGGGGATGCTTCTTCATCTTGCCTCAGAGCATAGCTTTGTTTGCTGCCTGTGTTTTAGAGTGTGAGGAAGAGGAGTAGTTTGGCCAAGTTTCTATAATCAGTGTCTAGTGACCAAGTTTGCCTTGAACTTGCAGAGATTCTCCAAGCAGAAAGCTGAGCCTAACCTCACGGAAGCCACAGCTCTGACTAAGCCATGCAGGAGGGCCTGTGGCAAAGCTGCATTTGGGCTTTGATCTTCATGTCCTAAGCCAGAAATTAGTCTTCAAGCTTCTGTCTAGAGCCTTGTCAATCTACTACAGCATGACTTGCAGGATTTACCAAAGCACTTAGCTACAAACCTGCCTATAGGGTCTGGTCTATAAGCAGCTGCTAAGACCTGAGCCCATCTAAGAAGATGGCTAATTAGCGCCAATGCCACAGTCCATCGGTACAAGTGGGGATTACTTTTAGTTGTCATAATCAAATTCCCGCATGGTCTCTTCTGATCCTCTGTAACTGCCCCCATACACTGACCCTGCAATGTAAAGTTAGGATTGGCGGTTATTAGTATACATTTTGAACCATCATATGTTGGCACTGAAAGGATGTCAGAGCAGGTCTCCAGCCTGGCAGTCCGTGGCCAAGGAAACCAATGACAAAGAAGGGTGTGCTCTGTTCACACCATACAGCCAGGAGAAAACAAAGCAATGCCTTGAATTGAAGTCTCCTGACCCCAGGAAAACATCTTTCAAGAACATATACATACATCTATGTTGAACAGCTCTTATAACCCTTGGGCCATAAGCAAACTTTTCCCTGATTTGTGTGGATGATTGTCTTTATCTCCAGGCTTTTTAATTTAAGAACTGAAGTAATTCCATACCAGGTATGGTGCCTCGTGCCTACAATTCCAACCTCTTGAGAGGCTGATGAGGTCAAGGCCAACCTGGACCTCCATAGTGAGTTGCAAGGCAGCCTGACATACAGGAGACCTTGTCTCAGGAATACAGAGAACTGAAGCAGTTTTGTTCAATACTACATAATCCACTTAGATGAGTGGAGAAGAAGAATGCTGTGCCTAGACTGGAGAGCAAATGAAAACATCCCAGGCATTCAAGTCATTCCCTAGAAACCAAGTGGATTGTCACAGTCTTACACATTCCAGGATATAGGGAATAATCTGTTCGCAGATAGTGTTTCAGACTCAGAAACGGAAGAGAATGGGAATGACCTTGAGTGAGGGGTATCTGGAGAGGACAATATTATGAGACACAGATCTTCGGGCATGAGGGTGACCCACAGAGATAGCCTACAGACATAATGCCGGCCGGCCGTGCCGAAGGGTCAGTGGGAAGGGCAGATTTCTAATGCCTCTGGCAAGGGCTTTGAAATACAGTCTTCACTGGCTGGTGACTAAGCTGAGCAAGTGACAATTACAATCTCACATAGTAAGGGAGCATCAGCAAACAGCACCAGGCTCCTCTGACAGGTGGGCTTACAGATTATTTTAATCCTGTTGATTCTGTTGTTTGGCCCTATTGATCCACGAGTGGCACAAGGAGGTGATGGGGGCATGTCTGCTTTTGGCCATCCCAGATCCCCAAATTTAGCAAAGCTCAGGAAGGTGTGCTGAGAAAGTGGTCTCGGAGGTTTGAACGTGGGTGTGGATGGCAGCAGTGCCCCGCCCTCACCCCCACTGTCAGTGTACTGATGGAGGACTGAGCAAGTGGAACGTTAACTTTCTCAAGTTATAGTTACAGACCTAGAAGGACAGTAAGTTGCTAGCAGTTGGAATAAACAAAACTATTACACTTTATTCAACTGGGAGTGTGTTTGCTGGTACAAGCTCCAAGATTAGACCGAAAAAAAAAAAAAAGCTGTGACCCAGAGTGCTTTCTTGCCTAATGGGTTCTGCTACATTAGATTTTGAGCTGCTGTGGCCATGAATGTGGATTATACCCCTGATCTTACAGAGGAGCATCTATGGGTGCTTGTAGTGTGTAATCATCTCTCTAGGCCGAGGGCAGGGCCTATGTAGCCTTTGATGCCAAGAAGTTAGAAGTTTCTCCTCATGCAGAGGATTCCATGTATCTTAAGATAACACACATCCTTTAGGGCAAAGAAGTCCCCAGGAGCATCTCATCCCCACCTGTGACTCCCAGACTCGATAAGACCTCTGGTCAATATACCTCAGGGACCCCTGGCCTGGGCTTCTTTGCAAGGACTTGAGGACATGGCAAGCACAAGAGGAAGACTACAGCAGCCCACACACCAAAGCTCCTGGGTCTGCTCTGGTTCCTTGGCAGCCATGTGACTCAGCCATCTTCCTAAGGGCACTGTCTCCTTGGTAGATGGACGCCTCCCTCTCCCACCCCGCCCCGAATCTTTCTCACCTTGTCGGAAGGAGATATACACCAGCCTCTCATCAAATTTCTGGACCCGCCGGAAGTTGTTGACCATTTCTCTTGGGGTGGGATCATCCATGTTTGTGAAATACAGAGCAGTCTCCAAAGCCAGCAGCTGAGGGAAAGTGAAAAAAGGTACCATGAGCTGATGGTGCTCAGTGGCCTGTCCTCCTGGGGAGAGGACTTCGGAGAAGCTCCTGGAATCATCCCATGAGGGGCTTGGCAGAAAGCACTTGACGGCAAAGGGAAAGCCAGAGAACTGTCTTCATCTGAGGGCCGGCTGAGTTGGGCTGGGCACATCCCTGCTGTCAGGGTTCCTGATAACCCCAGACTCTGCCCCAAATGAAGGGAAAGCTGAAGAGGAAGATTCCTTAGCTTCTCACCAAGACCACATGCCTTTCATGACCCTGAATTGGAACACAACTCTTAAAGCTGCAGGGGCTGGGCTCATTTGTATAGTCAAATCAGAATGAAAGACAGAGGGAAGAGGCCTTCAGTGATCTGAATGCGGGCTCCCTGACATCTTCACACCCCCATGAATATGACATAATCCGTTTTCTGGGTTAGGCTGCTGCTGCTTCCCCACACATTTCACCTCTGATTCAGCTCATCCCTTCTCACGTCCACCCACCAGCTGCCATTTATCGGGGCTTCTTGGCTCAGAAGTTCATAGTAAAGAGAATGCATTTGGCAGTGAGGGCTGGCTGGGATGATTTGTGGGTGATTATTATGTAGCACCATCCAGCCTCCTCTACGCTTTTCTTCTTCATGCTTTTAGGCTGTGGGGTAGCAGGATGAGCCTGAGTCAGCTCAGAAGTCAGGTGGTCCCTAGAATGGCTTAGAGACGGTTGCTAATGAAATGACCTGGCTCCCCAGCTCCCACCACCAGATTGTTAACTCCAAGGGCAGTGACCCTCTCATCTCTGCAATGTGGGGCCCATGTGTTAACCTGGTGTGACTTTATTCTGGCCCATCAAAGGAGCCAGGCTCTCTCCCACTTAAACAGTGACTGCCAGCCATCCAGCCACTGAGGGGAACATTAGCAAACACAGCATTGCAGCTCTCTTTAAAGAATGGTGGGAAGTGTGTTCATTTTCCTAGCTCAGTGTTTAACTCCTCTTAGAGCTTACTCTAATTTCTACAGCATTTCCATGGCAGGTCCCATCTGGAGAGGCTCTGAGGAAAGTCTTTGATTAGCACAGCTTATGCCAGGAAGCATACAGACTCTGGCTTGCTACCTGTTCCTGGGAAATCTGCACAGGGTTTCGGAAAACTGTCCAGAGCACGGTAGGGTAGCAAGGAGGTGTGGTCAGGGAGCCTTCGTAGCGGTAGTACTCGCCAGGGCTCTCGGGCAGAAGTTCTTCAATGTTGAAGCCTGGGATGAACACTTGCTGGCCTGGAGAGATAGATGGGGCATGAGGGTATCAGCCTGACTCCTGATCGGAGGGGCACAGCTAGACACAATCACTGAGCTTAAACACTCAGATTCAGGCACAGTGAGTACGCACTTCTCTGGGCCATCTGACCCAGCATCACAGCACTGCCCAGCAGCCTGCTGCTCGAAACCTGGTGAACACAGATAGCACCCTCCCCTTATGCTGTTGTTGCTCTTATGGTGGCACAGGTGTGACCACATCCTCTGTAGCAGTGAACAAAGAAGTAGCCAAGTGCCCCTCACCTTTGTACTTAACATATTGAAGATGACTGAAGATCTTGTCATATGACGGGTTGGCAGAGCCTATCTGCAACAGAGACCAGGCAGGTTGAGCAGGGACAGAACAAGATAGGCTCCGCCTACACTGACAGTTACCATCAGAGGGCTGGGCTGGGGCCCTTCCCCCGAGGAGCTACCTTACAAAGAAAATTCTGCCCCATCACCAGATTGTTGAGTGTTAATATGGTGGTCTTGACCTTTGGCAGCAAATGATGTCTCGTTTTCAGCTTAAGACACTAGGCTTGAGTGTTCCAATATATAGGTTGTGTTCCTGGTTGTCTGACCTTAGCCTCAAGACTACAACCAGTCCATTTCACCTGGAACTTAGGGGAACTTTGAGTTCACAGACTCAAAGCTGGATAAGTAAGCACACTGGGAAATGGGAACATGCTGTTTCATTGGAGAAAACAAAGCAGGCAGTTATCAGCAGTTATTTCTCAAACTGCCCCTTGCCCTGGCTAAGATTTTGAGATAAAAATCTTAGTATGTAGCCCATGCTGACCTCAAACTCTCAGTGGTCCTCCTGTCTCAACCTGCAACCTGCTGGGATTATAAGCATGCACTGCAATGCCATTCTTGTTTTCTAAGATTAAATAATTCATTGCAGAATGGATTAAATAATTCATTGCAGAATGGAGCTTGGATGCTAGGTGTTGTATCAGTGGTGGACACACCTGATGGAACAGCATGAGGATCCCCACACCCCACAGGCCCTCCCCAGACCATGCAACAGGGACAGAGTCAGGGACTCATATTTCTCATGTCACAAAAGATACGTCTTCTTCAGCTAGCTAGAGACAGCAAAAGCTTCCTCTGAGGAAAGAGAGAAGAAGCCTTAAGGAATAACCCCTACTCTAAGGGGCAATGCAGGGCCATCCGGGAGCGGCTCACTATATGGACTGCTGCGAACGGAACACACACCTCGTCCTGATAGCTTCCCGGCCGCAGACTTTATGTCAGAAGCCCTTTGAACAGATCATACCTCAATGAGAACAGCCAGGACAGCAAGGCCTTCTGGCTTGTCACTGGCGGTGCTGAAGTCAGGGTACAGGTCAGAGTTATAATGGACAATGTGCAGCTGCAACAGGAGAGAAGGACAGATGAGGGGACAAGCGACTCACAGGAACCTTTTTCTGCAGGAGAGAACCTTTTTCTGCCCCTCCCCCCAAAGAACTGATCCCTTACTATCCATCTCCAGTTTTCTCTTTCCCCCCAGTTCCAGCAGGGCACATCCTATCTTATTTACTGGACCCCTCATGTCTGATAAGGTACCTGGAAATTAGCAGCGATACAGCAGACATGAATGAATGAATGAATGAATGAATGAATGGGTTTTTATTTTAACCATGAAAAGGTTTGGATACTTTGGGGTTCTTCTCCTTTTGATTTTTTTTTTTTTCTGGAGCCTGAGGCCAAGTGGTCTCCTGTAAATTGGCATCTCTGTACTTGGTCTGGAAGCAGTAGGGGTGGGGCAGGAAACCAGTTGCCAGCTACAACTTAATCATAATTGATAATGCACAACCACTGGTGTTTATCCCTCAGGCAGATGAAATCACCGCACAGCTTTTACCAGCTCGGTCCTTAAGTCAGATTTTAAGAGTCCATAGAACAAGAATGACTTTCCACAAATGTAGACTTTTATCTTCTCAAACTGCAATTCTAAATGATGATGGCTTTAATCAGATCAGACACTAATTATTAAGGCAAGGAGAAGTTTTTGAGAGGTCTCAGATTTAGAAAGTCTAGGCACATGTTATGACCACTGTTATTAGAAACGCTGGTGATGTTTGAACATGACTTTTAATCCTAAAGAGAGGATTACCCAGCCTTCGGAAGGCTTTGTTGTAGATAGCTCTAAATCAGACACATGCGTTTTCATCCCACGCTCCTGAGGCTATTGCGTATCCACATCTTTATCTAGATTTCTTTTTTTCCTAGTCGCTCTTCATCGCCATCATCTAAAGGAATTCAGCATAAGCTCTACTCTTTAATGTCATTACACCGCCCTCTTGCTGTTTTGCATTTTACTTTCTTATGTGTCTGAATGTGTTGCCTGTGTGTGTATCTGTGTACCACGTGCATGCCTGGTTCCAGTGGAAGCCAGAGGAGGCTGTTGGTTAGAGTTACTTTACAGATGGTTGTGAAATGCCAGGTGAGGGCTGGGAATGGAACCAGGATCGCTTTGGGGGTGGTGGGCAGAATCTCACCATGTAGCTTAAGCTGGCCTTGTGCTTGAAATCCTCTTGCCTCGGCCTCTTGAGTGCTAGGGTTACAGGCATACGCCACATCTGACTGTCACGTTATTTCTTCTAAGCGATCTCCTGTTAAGGCTTCCTTAGGGGCCCTAGCTTCGCTACCTTTCCACATAAAGGATGGCCTACCACACGGCCCACGCCATCTTGGAAAGGCTTGGAGAAACAGTAGACTTCTATTTGTCTACATTACCCAAGATCTTTTTTGCTTGACCTTTGACCCTGTGGTCTGCTTTAGCTCTGAATGTATTCAGACTGAGTTTAGAAAGAGGGTAAAAACTAATCTAATTCCCGGTGAGGGGCTTTACAGTCTTCTGTAGTTTCCACTCAATAGAACCACTACTCCAAAGAGATTTTCTACACAGAATCTGCCAGGCAGCAGCACCCTGACGCTTTCTCAACGGTACTAGCAACTGTGGCCTATCAGGCTTGGTCTGATGATTAGCTCAAGTGCAGAGCATGCAATAATTAGTAATAGTTTTTAAGATTTTATTTTTAGTTTATCTAGGCATAGTGGCACATGCCTTCAATCCCAGCACTCAAGAGACAGAAGCAGGCAGATTTCTGTGAGTTCAAGACCAGCTTGCTCTACATAGTAAGATTTAGGGCTGCAAAGTAAGATTTTTGTCTCAAATGTTAAAAAGATTGTGTGTGTGTGTGTGTGTGTGTGTTGTGTGTGTGTTTGAACAGGTAAATGCAGTGTCTGAGGAAACTATAAGGAGGCATCAGCTCCCCTGGAGATAGTTATGGGCACTTATGAGCTCCCAAAATGGGTGCTGGGGACCCAACTTATGTTCTCATAAGAGCAGTATGCTCTCTTAATTGCTGAGCCATCTCTCCAGCACCCCAAAAATATTTTTTAAATGCATAAACTCTCCAAACCTACATCCTAGCTGCCACTTTGTTCTCCCAGGGGGAAGCAGAAGCTTCAACATTGCAATTAACTTGCAAGAAATTGCAGTTCTCGAGCTCCCGAGAAGGAAGGGTCTGCTCTGAAATATGTGCGCCTCCAGTAATACCACTCTGTTGGGCCAGAATCACGGCCCCTCCACACTTGTAACAGACCTGTAATTAGCTTGAGACATCGGGCAGTTCAGCAGTTGTGAACAGAGGAGGGAATAGTTGTACCATTATTTACCACGGGACCTGCTGGCTGATCAACAGCATTATCTCGTCCTGCTCATTTTCCAGTACATACGCAGAGCCACACCCCCAACTCAGACCTTATCCTACCCTGTCATATTCTGCTTCTCTTCTCACTCTCTTTTGGCACTTTAGGTTAGAAGCTCGGGGTGACATGGCACAGTTCTGTGCCCACATCCCAAACCATTTTTTAGAGAATCTCTGACCATAGTGATGCCCTGCACATCTTAATGCCAGTCACTCCTTCATCTATGGCGAGCAACAGGGACAGCCCTGGGTCAGTGTCCTCATATTCCCAAGTACAATGATATGGGAAAGGCATTTGTAAACAGCACGAGGTGTGAAGACCGAAAAGCACAGAGGAGCAACGAGCCTGGCATGATTGAGCAGTGAGCCGTGGCAGCCAGGCAAACTGTGAGGTCCTCCTCGGCACACAGCAGAGAGATGCCTAGAGAAGGGCCGCATGCATCCCATCTGCAAGGCCAGCCTTCTCAACAGCCTCACACAGTAGGAGAAACAGGCAAACTCAGCGCGCTCCAGCAAGGACGGGACAAGGACACCCAGATAAGGGCAGGGCAGTGAGACCAGGAGGATGGTGGGGACAGTGAAGGCTGCCGTGGGGAGGGAGCCAATGCCACCGGCTGCTCACTCACCTCAGCAGCAAAGTGCTTCCCGCTCACGGTGTGCTCAGAGCCATGGGGGTCATTGCGGTTCCCCCAGTGCAAGTGCAGCTGCTCCGCCCTGTACTGGTGGGGCTGGAGGCCCTCGAGGTACATGTTGGAGTTCAGATTCAGTCTCACTGTGAGGAATGGAAGAACACCCTTCAGAGCCCTGGCCAGATCAACCCTGCTAGAAAGCAGGCAGGCGGGCAACGCCCGCACAGGTACAGGAGCCACCGGAGCAAGGAGCAGACAAGAGCACTGATGCCTCCAGGTCAGAAACATGGCTTCTTTCTCTGGTGCAACTCCAGTGGCACCAGAACCTTCATGGGTCTCCCTGGAAAACATCAAGTCTAGGCCAATGGCGGGTGTTTCTTTACATATCCATGTATCGGGCTCCTGTCTATGACAGTAAGACCTTCAGGGAAGAACTCTCCAAATTGGAGAATTACAATGGTATTTAAGAAGCACTTATACCAAGCATGGTGGTACATGCCTTTAATCCCAGCGCTCGGGAGGCAGAAGCTGGTGGATCGCTGTGAGTTTGAGGCCAGACTGGTCTACAGAATAAGTCCAGAAGAGCCAGGCCTACACAGAGAAACTCTGTTACAAAAACAAAAACAAAACAAAACCAAAAAAAAGCATTTACTATACAACAGACTCTGATGTACCCAATCCCTAGTGTTCACTGAACAAATCAGTAGGCCCCTCTTCCAAATGACAAATCAAGGAAGTTAAAATTCCTACCTAGTCTGATTAATCATTAGTATCTGTGATGGCCAATCTTGGTTGTCAACCTAACTACATCTGGAATCAACTAAAACCTAAGCAACTGGGGTGTGTGTGTGTCCACTCTCAGCAATTGAATTGCTGGTGCCTTGAATAGTTAATGATAACCCAGAATTCACCCTAGCATCTTAGTCAACAGACCAATGGAATCAGACCTATCTGCCGCCTCTCTCTCTCTCTCCCAGAGATGTGCTTCTGAGATGTGCTGCTCAGGAAGAATCATTGGATTCAGGACGTCCAGCATCTCTTCCTCCCCCACATGTGAGACAGGAGGGTCTTGCGTGCCTCACAGCCTCCTCCTAGCCCCTTCTCCTTCAGGGGCCAGGGAGTTGAAAGAGTATCAGAGCTTTCTCTCTAATGTCCCTTCCTTACCTGAATGGCCATCATTGGTCAGATTCAACAGCTTTTCAACAGACACATTGTAACCTTGGAACTGGAGAGGTGCGAGGCTGGCATCATACTGGAGGATGTCACTGTGCAGGTCTATCGGGGACTGCAGGAGACCCCCACATGACGGGTACTTCTTGGACCAGTTCTTTTCGCCAGTAGGACCTAGGAAGAGAGACTCGAGCTGAGTTTTCCACGAGGAATTTTTCTCACTGCCTACTCTGTTTATACAATGGTTTCTTAGTGTTGCTTTCCGTTATCTCTCTATAGATAACCCCTCTATTCTATAAGAGGCGAGTCCCCCGGCATCCTGTGGACCTCATCCAAGAGTGGTAAGAGTCCACAGAAGTACTTGATACCTTTTTTCACTGTAACTTCTATGGGGAAGAAGAGTTGAACAGAGGTAAACTGTTTGAGACCTGGGATACCAGCTTACAAAATCAGGCCTAGCAAACACTTCAAAAACACCTGCCATTAAAGTGCTGTGGAGAATGAAAACCTAGAGGAGCCCAGGCCAGAAACTAGAGCCCAACCTAACCTCTGCTTTATTCCCACGTTGTCACAATACATATCCTCCTTACATGAAAACTAGCGACACCTAATAATATACCATCTGCTTGTTGAACATCTATTATGAGCCAGAAATTACTCTAGGTCTTGAGGCCACCAGGTTGGACACTACAGGGACCTCCAAGCTTATATTATAGAAAGGAAAATTTGATATCCCAGGTTGGTATCTGACTGACCATAGTTCAGGCAGGTCTTTGAGGCTCCTGGATTCAGAGTGTGATATTCCTGATAGCAAACCCTGGGGATAAAGACCCTGATGCCCACATCTGGAGTGCAGGATGCAATCCAAAAGGGATGTTTGAAAATAGTATAGGGTAATTATAGGCCTGGGGAAACAAAGCCAAGCACAGCAGGGGTTTAACTCGAGGGAAGCCTGGTAATACTATAGTCGAATTATTGTAATCAAAATGACAAGTCCTCAGTGAGAAGCAGGCTTAAAAAAAAAAAAAAAAAAAAAAAACCATCCAGGGCTCATGCTCCTTGGTAAATACTGGCTAGCAGTCACTCTTCTGGGACTAGAAACACACAGTCTATGGGCAGATAAACTCAACCCGTGAGTTTCGACCCCTTGGGTCAAAAAACGCTCTCACAGGGGTCACCCAAAACTATGGGAAAACAGAGATTTACATTATGATCCACAACAGTAGCAAAATGACAGTTATCGAGTAGCAATGAAAATAATTCTATGGTTGCGGGTTGCTACAACGCCAAGAACTGTACTAAAAGCTCTAAGCATTAGGAAGGTTGGGAATCACTGAAAACCATACCACTCCCACAGGAAAACAAGTCTTGAAAGAACGTAAATCTGTGTTTAAAAGATTATCTTCCATGGTGATTAAATGGATTTTCAGGCTAGTGGCGGACATTTCCCCCAAAAGAACTGAGATTCTGGGAGTCTAAAGGAGGAAAATGTCTCAATTGTGTCCTATGTGGTTTTTATTAGAAGTTAAAGCCACACTAGGTGTTTGGGAGCATGAAAAATGAGCATGTTAAGGAGAGCAGAGCCAGTGTGGGCAAAGCCTTCAATAGAAACTAAGTGAGAACACTGGACCAGGAATGCCCAGAGAACAGGCCTGCAGGACAAGTGTCCACAGCCAGGTCATGCTCCCTACCGGAGCTGCCACCAACTCTGGTAGAGATGGCAAGGTTGGATACTGTATTCTGGAAGGTCCCTTCTGGCTCCTGGGATCTAAGAGTTATGAAGATTACAGGACTAAGCACCCTCACCCACGGCACCAGGCAAGTTGGGACGGCTCACTGATGCCTGTTCATGTCAAGGCAGCTCTAGATGCCCAGTGGGAACCAGCTTCAGAGGTGAAGGCACAGATGCCGGTGTCCCTGGGCTGGCTGGGGTGTAGACGCCACGTGCCCCAGTCCTGGCGTCTGTCCACAGGCAAGCTAGTCATGGGCCGCAGTCATGGGCCCTTACGGCAGCAGGGCCTAAAAAAGCCCTTTCCATCCCTCTGCTTCTTTCCCCATCAGCAGCATGGTTCACTGATTTTAGTAGTTTTGATTCTTCTAAAATCTATAACATTGACATAGCCAAGGGGAGAAGATGAAAGTGTTTTATAGGTGAAATACTGATATGGAGTGATTTGTCTACAGTTAGACTTTAGCTTAATACCACAATTACCCGGCTTGGATTACAAGGCTTTGGTGCCTTTTCTCTGAAGGTTCATCTGGGAGAGTTTTTTTTTTTTTTTTTTTTTTTTCCTCCTTCCCTCTCCTACAGTCTCCTTGGAGGCAAGGAGTGTATCATTCATCCCCATATTTCCTGCAGTGCCTGGCATACTGGGCAGATCCTGACATGCTTACTAATTCTCCCACCTGTTTCCTGCTTGTTTTCTAAGGGTGCTTGATTACCTGTTTGAAGTCCCCACATGCTTTTTTATTTTCCTCAAAAAAGAATTGGAGCCAGTTATGGCAGTTAATGTTTAGAACCTTGGTGCTGCTTCCTTCTCCTTCCCTCCCTCCCTCCCTCTCTCCCTCCTCTCTCCCTTCCTCTTTCCTTTTTTTCTCCTTTTTTCTATTCTCTTTCTGTCTCTGTCTCTCTGTGTCTCTGCATCTCTCTCTCTCTTGTGTGTGTGTACAGGTACTCTAGATTATCTGCCCTGTGAGCTTCTGGGGAGATTCTCCTGCCTCTGCCTTCCATCTGAGCATTACAGGTGTGTGCTACCATAGCATGCTTTTTCACATGGGTCCCAGGAATTGAACTTGGGTCCTCAGGCTTTCACATTTAGCACATTTACCCACTGGGCCACTTTGCTGGTCCTCTGTAATCCTAGTCCTTGTGAGATGCAGGCAGGCGGATCAAGAACTCAAGGCCAGCCTTGGCTACATAGTAAGTTTGAGACCAGCTTGGCTTCATGAGGCCCTGCCTTAAAAAGAGAGAGAAAAGTTTGAAAACGAGTTTACTCATTCAGGTTCAGAATATCTCCCCTTGGCGTTTCAGTTCACCAGTGTGAGGCTTGGTTCCGGATGGCTGGGACTGCTTGCTGAAAAGGAAACCTGCTTTTCATCCTATAGTGTGGGATATGGGCTGGCAAATATGACTCCATAGAGTTCATAGACTCACCACCACCACCTTATGGCTCTTGTCCCCTTGTAGAGAGGGGGACACTGTCATACAGCCTCATGACTTCTTGGCTTGAGAGAGAGACACATGGCTAGGTACCTACACAAGCAGTATCAAATATGACAGTGGCAGGCTCTTTGCCATTGTCCTCCAGTTTCTTTCCGGCCCATGTGACCTGCAGCCATAGTACACCTGGGGGAGTTACTGAAAGCCACAGTACCTCACCTGAGTCTCAGCTTTCACAATCTTTTTTTTTTTTTTTTCCTTAACTCTGAGACAGTGTCTCATGTATCTCAGGCTGACTTTGTCCCTCTGGTGCTCGGCCCCTCTCTGTCCTGTGTTGGACCTCAGGCATATACCACCATGCCTAGTTTATGTGGTGCTGTGGATCAATCATTCTATCAACTGAACTACACAGCCAGCCCCAGCTTTCCGACTCTTGCTGAGAGCCTGTGCTGGGAGCAACTCCTACAACGCAGCTCCTGTAAGCACTTGCTGTTGCTTTGGGTTTCCAAGGGACCTCTTCCACTGGTAGGACCCCATTCTCCTCCCCGTGCTCAGCCAGGAGGCCACGCATATCTCAAAGCTTGTTTTTCCAAATAAAAACAAAGCATTGTTTCTTTCTAGTTCATGAATCCCCCTAATGGTGGCAAAAAAGAAGTGGACAGATCGTTGTTTTGAAATATAAAGTAGGATTAACATGGTGCAGCTCAAAATGCCTCTCGTGGCTCGTGACTGGGAATTGTGAGGCTCAAGGGTATGGGACCCATGTTATCTGAGGGCCAGATTATTATTTCAAATGTATCCAAAATCAGAGAGAGATAAGCAAGGTGAACTCCACATCACCCAGCTGTGACAGCGTGCGAGTTAGAGCCGGTCCTGTTTCATCTTCACGTCTGCCTGGATAACTCTGAAACAAACCGGGTTGACTTCATCTGCGTGTGTCTCAGTGAGCTCAGAGCGAAAGCTCACTGCCACTGTCCCTCCCTGCAAAGATAACTTAGAATTTAATGTTACCAAATCCAATCAGCAGAAAGTTTTACAACTAGATCATTACTTTTTTCCTTCAAGGAAGCAAAGTTGGAGCTTACTGTGAAATGATGCTAACAGATTTATGTGTGGGTGTTAGAGGACAGAGAAGGGCACTCAGGAAAATGCAGACTTCCAGAGTGACTCGTATTTAAGTGTCTTAGCATTAGCCCAGACAGAGCATCGGTGGGTTCTGGAGTGATGCTGTTCAAAGGGTTTCTAAGAGCTTTTCTTTTTTCTTTTAGTAAATGTGATCATTGGGTCTATCTAAAAGTATTGGGTGTAACAGGCTGACAGGATTAAACGCAGAGATCATAAGGGATTATGGAATCTTTATTAGATTTAAGTTATAAAGAAGTCCAGACATGTTTTCACTATAAGCAGGGCTCATACTCATGTTTGTAAGATTCTCAGAAAGTTACAGCTGGGGAATAGGTAAGGTTAAATCCAAAGCTCATGAACCAGCGGCTCTGCAGAAAAGAGCTTGGTACGGAAACCCGGTGGACTTGAGTTCGATTCCTGGAGCCCATGTAAAGCTGGGAGCAGAGAACTGGCTGCATAGTTGTCCCATGTCCCCACATACGTACATCATGTGATAATTTTTTTTAAATCCAAATGTCATATATGCTTAGGCTTTAAGCATAACTTATTTCTTCTTAAATTTTATTTATTGTGCACCTTGCTCATGCCTGTGTACGTGAGCGATTCACTCCACTGAGTTCATGTGGAATCAGAGGACAACTTGTAGAAGTCAGTTCTCACCTCCCACCACGTGGGTCCCGGGGATCACACTCGGGGTAGCAGGCTTGTAGGCAAGTGCCTTTACCCACTGAGCCATCTCACGAGTCCTTCTAGCATTCTTTTAAATTATTATTGCTGTTGTTACTGTTAGTATTTGTGGTACTGGTGAGTAAACTGATGGCCACGTGCATACCAGTCAAGTCCACTACCACTGAGCTCCAGCCCTTAGCCTCTGCTATTTTAATGTTCC